GAAGTGCTATTATTTTATCCTAATAAAATCACTATTTCAAAAAGGAAAGAAAGAGTATTTAAGAGCCAACACCTTGCAATCAGGTGAAATGTAGTGTGACTTTGGACTACTTATTTAAACTTTCTGGGCCTCAGTTTCCTTATTTATAAAGTGGAGATGCATTGTGCATAGGGTTGTTGAGTGAAAAAATGAAATCATGCTTATGGAGAACTTGGCACAGTGTCTAACACACAGTGCACATGGAAATAAGTAGCTGCTTTTGCTTGCATGTTTACTATATGCCTTTTATATTGCTGGTGGTCACATTCATTTCATTCCTTAGTATACCAGCAGCATCAAGGGAAGAAATGATGTTTGTAAGGCAATGCTGGGGTAGAAGAAAACTCCTCAATGGATGTCTACCACCCTGAAAACACTGGAGTCCAATAAAGGATACAGATTCTCCTGGGGGTGGAAGTGAAGGCCTTGCCCTTTATGTTCAACAACACTGAGCATTCCATTTACTAGAAGAAACATTAATCAGACACCTAGAGACTTTTGGACAGAAATTATATTTAAATATGTCTGTATTCTTAGGAGGCAGTAAAAAACCAGGCACATTAAAGAGGCACAAGAAATCCTAAACAACAACCCTTAAAACTCCCATTTTATTTTATTTATTTTTAAGTCTTTGTTGTTGAGAGTATTACAAATGTCCCTCTTCCCCTCCCCGACCCCATTGCCTCCCTCCACCTGATCCCTGCCCCACCCCAGGCCTTCACTACCTTATTGTCTCTGTCCATAAGTAATGCATATATGCATATAAGATCTTTAGTTGATCTCTTCCTGCTCCCCCTCTTCCCTCTGAGATTCATCAGTGTGTTCCATGTTTCCATGCCTCTGATTCTATTTTATTCATCAGTTTCTTTTGTTCATTAGATTTCTTGTTCATTTGATTTTTAGATTCACTTATTGATAGATATATATTTATTATTCATATTTTTATCTTTATTTTTGTCTTCTTCTTCCTCTTCTTAAAGAATACCCTTCAACATTTCATGTAATACTGGTTTGGTGGTGATGAACTCCTTTAGTTTTTTCTTTTCTGTGAAGCTCTTTATCTGGCCTTCAATTCTAAATTTGCTGGGTAGAGTAATCTTGGTTGTAGATCCTTGCTATTCATCATTTTGAATGTTTCTTGCCACTCCCTCTGGCCTGCATAGTTTCTGTTGAGAAAACAGCTGACATTAATATGGGTGCTCCCTTGTAGGTAACTAACTGCTTTTCTCTTGCTGCTTTTAAGATTCTCTCTTTGTCTTTAGACATTGGCATTTTAATTATGATGTGTATTGGTGTGGGTTCTTCTTGTTTGGGATTCTCTGTGCTTCCTGAATGTCTAAGTCTATTTCTTTTACCAGGTAAGGAATGTTTTCTGTCATTATTTCTTCAAATAGGTTTTCAATTTCTTGCTCACTCTCTTCTCCTTCTGGTTGCCCCATTATGCGAATGTTGGTATGCTTGACATTGTCCCAGAGGCTCCTTACACTATCTTCATATTTTTGGATTCTTTCTTCCTTTTGCTCTTCTGATTGGGTGTTTTTTGCTTTCTCATATTCCAAATCATTAATTTGATTCTTGGCACCCCCTACTCTACTGTTGAATCCCTGTAAATTATTCTTTATTTCAGTTAGTGTATATTTAATTTCTGACTGGTCCTTTTTCATGTCTTTGGTGTTCTCACTAAGGTTTTCAAAATTCTCACTAAGATCCTTGAAAGTCTCACCAAGTCCCTTGAAGCTCTCATCAGGATCCTTGAGCAAACTTATAACCATTGTTTTGAACTCTGTATCTAGTAGTTTGCTTGCTCCCATTTCATTTAGTTCTTTTTCTGCAGATTTCTTCTGTTCTTTTATTTGTGACATGTTTCTTTGTCTCCACATTTTGGCTGCTTTCTTGTGTTTGTTTCTGTGTATTAGGTAGAGCTGTTCTGTTTCCTGGAGTGGCCTTGTGTGGTAGGTGTCCGGTAGGATCCAGTGGCTTATCCTCCCCAGTCACCTGAACTGGGCACTCTAGGTGCATCTCTGTGTGGGCTGTGTGCATATTCTTGTTGTAGTTGAACCTTGATTACTGTTGGTGTCACTGGGAGAAATTAACCTCCAGGCCAATTGGCTGTAAGGATTAGTTGTGACTACAGTGGAAGAACTGTTTTGCAGGAGACAGCCCTATTCAATGGGACTCGTTTCAGTGGGGCTTTGGTGCTTACTGAGCCTGCCCCTTGAGTGTGTCACTTGTGGATATGTAGAGTTGTAATCTGGAATGGTCTAAAGCTGTCCACCAGGTGTACTGGCTCTGGGGCCTCCTGGGAATTGCAAAATCAGCCTGGGGCCACCCAACAGGAGCTATAGAGAGGTCTGCAGATGGCTGCTATTTGTGTCAAGCTTGGAAGTGTCAGGTGAGGCTCAGCTGTGAAGCAAGGCAGGCTGATGATATTGCCAAGTCTCGGGCCTTTTACTAATAGGTTTGGGGCATGCTACTGCCAGCTGCTGCTTGATTGAGAGATTTCAGCAAAGTCTGAAGCCTGAGTAAAACCCTCATTGCAAAGGCAAAGAAGCTGAGGCATGGACTTGACCAAAGGTACACAGCTAATCAGTGGTGGAATCCATTTGTTTTGAATCTCAAATCTGGGACTTTTTTGGGGCGGGGGGCTTGGGGGGCAGATGCTTGGTCATTCCATCAAATAATTGTGGGCGGGGAGAGGGTGGATTTTTAGAAAACTCTAGTATTGGCTTGTTTTCTCTCAGTCCATTACCCACTCCTGGGTAAATATTAAGCAGCCACTCAAGGCCTTGATGCCACTGATTTTTCAGATCCTTCCTGAACCTCTGAGTTTGCAGTGTTCTTTTATATGTTGTTTTGCTCCTATTGGCAACAAATGCCTCATCTCAGTTTCTTGATCTGAAAAAAAGGGGGGAATGACATATTCCTGCCCACTTGAAAGAGTCCACTCTCCAACAGCCACCAACTTACTCCTAGCCCATCCCTTATTTTCTTAGGAGGCTTATCTCCGCCTACCCTTATTTATTTTCTGTCTTCTCCACCCCTTCTAGAAGGGCAGCATAGTGGGGGAGGCAGGGTCCTCTGTTCACTGACTGTATCGTTCACTGTTGTATCCCCAATACATACTGGAATGCAGTACAGATCCTCAATAATTATTTGTGGTCACATACTTTTTATTTATTATTATTTTAAATATATTTTTATTGATTTCAGAGAGGAGGAGAGAGAGAAACATCAATGATGAGAGAATCATTGATCAGCTGCCTCCTGCATGCCCCTTACTGGGGATCAAATCTGCAACCTGGGCATGTGCCCTGGACCGAAATCGAACCTGGGACCCTTCAGTCCGAAAGCAGACACTCTATCCACTGAGCCAAACCAGCTAGGGCTATTTATTTATTTATTTTAATTGAATCTATTGGAGTAACATTGGCTAATGAAATTATATAGATTTCTAGTGTACAATTCTATAGTACATCATCTGTATACTGCATTGTGTGCTCACCACCCCAAGTCAGGTCTGCTTCCATTACCATTTATGCCCCCTTTATTATCTTCTACCTCCTCTCACCCCCATTTTCCTCTGGTAATCATCATACTGTTATCTGTGTCTATTAGTTTTTCACTTAATCCCTTCACCTTTTTCATCCAGCTCTGTAATTCCCCTCCCCTCTTACAGGTGGCAGTCTGTTCTCTGAGTCTGTTTTTAGTTTGTTAGCTTATGTTGTTCATTAGATTCCACACAGCAATGAAATTATATGGTACTTGTCTTCCTCTGACTAGCTTATTTCACTTGGCAGCATGAAGAAAGTGGAACTGTTTTATGATCCAGCAATTCCACTTCTGGGAATATATCCAAAGAAACCTGAAACACTAACTCAAAAGAACATATGCTCCCCTATGCTCATTGCAACATTGTTTACAATAGCCAAGATTTGGAAGCACTCCAGGTGCCCATCAGTAGATGAGTGGGTAAAAAAGCTGTGGTACATTTACACAATGGAATACTACTCGGCTATTATAATGAGGGAAGTCTTGCCCTAGCAGGTTGGGTTCAGTGTATAGAGCGGCACCCTGTGGACTAAAGGGTCCTGGGTTCAATTCCAGTCAAGGGCACATGCCCAGGTTGCGGGCTTGATCCCCAGTAGGAGGGCATGCAGGAGGCAGACAATCGATGATTCTCTCTCATCATTGATGTTTCTATCTCTCCCTCTCCCTTCCTCTCTGAAATCAGTAAAAATATATTTTAAAAAAGAAAATGAAGGAAGTCTTACCCTTTACAACAGCATGGATGGACCTGGGGAGTATTATGCTGAGTGACACACTTTGAAATGCTACCTTCCATTTACTGAGTGTCTAACTATATGGCAAGAACTGTACTAACTGTTTAATGCATTACCTCATTACTCTTATTACGCATATTCTTGAAACACCCTGGCAAGGGGGCTCCGCCATCCTCTTGGGGCAAAGTTAGGTAAATACCTTCAGGACACGTGGCTGGATTTCAATCCAGTTCTCTCTCTCTCTCTTTTACCTTTGCTCTTTAGCAACTGGGCTCAGCGTTCCCAGTGTGATCTTGTATGTAGTTTTCTGAAGTCAAAGCCCAGAAAGGCTGTTTGTTCAGTGGTTAATAGAAAAGATTTAAAAAAAATGTCAATTAGGGATCCTGACTCTGCTTCTGTGAGCAGAGGGCGGGACAAAGGGTTATTTCTTAAAATTGTATCATTAGAATCATCAGTGGTCACAGGCTTACTCCAATGCAGAGAACCTGCTCCCCTTGCTTCTGAGAGACCTGGAAAAGCCAAATCTGACTAATCACCAGCTCACATGTGGCCCTGCGCTCCTCCCAGGCAGGTTCCTCCACCCAGGGCAGGCAGCCAAGTCTGGCCTCCTCACACCCTCCAGCCCTGGAGCTCTCTGCGTCAGAACACACCCCCCGGGGGCGGTACTCAGGCTGGAGCGCTGCAGGAGACACCTTTGCAAACCGCCCTCTTCTCCCTGATGTCAGGTTAAAAACCTCAGCACCACGTGTTGCTGACAAACCTGCCTGTGACTGACAGCCTAGAGCCAGAGACCTCACTTGCCGGAGCCAGCATGTCAGCTGTGGTCCTGGAGAACCGAAGAGGCCTGACCAGGAAACTCTCAGACTTTGGCCAGGTGAGCCTCAGCCGCGCAGGGAGGGGGATGCTGGTGTCTCCTATTTCCATAAGCTCACCGCCATGTCTGTTTCCATTTGAAGATGATGAAATTGTCCAGGAAGTCATCAGATAACATAGGTCCTCAACAATTGTTTCCCGGGCAGGACATCAGCCCTGCGTGGCTTTCAGGGGGAAAGAGCACTACTTTAGGAGTTAGGGATCTGGCTTTTAGTAGCCACCAACTAGCTGTGTGTCTTTATTTATTTTAATATATTTTATTGATTTTTTACAGAGAGGAAGGGAGAGGATAGAGAGTTAGAAACATCGATGAGAGAGAAACATCGATCAGCTGCCTCCTGCACACCTCCTACTGGGGATGTGCCCACTACCAAGGTACATGCCCTTGACCTGAATCGAACCTAGGACCTCTTGGTCCGCAGGCCGAGGCTCTATCCACTGAGCCAAACCGGTTAGGGCTAGCTGTGTGTCTTTAGACAGGTCACCCTCCCTTTCTGTTGCCTGCTTCTTCTTCTGTACATTGAAGGGGCTGGTCCTTAATGGTCTGGAATGGGAGATGGGGTCCTTCTCCATCTGCTCTTCTGTGATGTTTATAAAATGCTCACAGCCATCTATTGAAGTGGCAAAATTGTGAGAAATTGCATCCTTTTTTTTTTTTTAATCTTTGGGAGAAAATGGGGCATGAAGAAAGTCTCAGACTTACTCAGACCTGGGGAAGGAGAAAATTAAACAGAGAGGAAAGTGAACGAGTTAGCCTTGGACTTGGAATGTGGGAGAGCCCTAAACGTGATTTGGGGATAAGGTGTTGTCTGATTCTCTGGGATTTCTCTGCCTTTCTCTTGAGGTGGACAATTGCATTCTTTTATGACTTACCACACTCCTGGACTCTCTGGTTCAGAACTAAAGCCCAGCTCAGGGAGCAAACCTAACTCTGCAGACACCTTTCGTCAACAGGGTTAGTGAGAACCATCTAGAGAACAGGAAGGTGGAGGGGAGGGGATGAGTGGCTGATGTTTTAGGATAACCAGAGGAGCTGTAGAACTTTTCACTCACGTTTGTTTTGAGTTCTGAGCGGAAGACTTCCTTTGAAAATGTATGCGATGCTTGGAAGACGGGAGAGCTTGGGATTGAAGAGGGATGGTGTGGGAGTCAGACAGGTCCCAGAATAGATCCTGACTTGTCATCCTTTAGTTTCTGTGTTTCTGGCCACAGACCTCCACAATCATGAGAAGAAGTTAGAGGCAGCGACCTGGAGAGTAAAGCCTTGTTTATAAAGCACTGAGAATAAGATTGAGACCCACAGTTAATCACTCTTAATGACTAGAGGTAAAGAGCAGGGTTTAGAACATGCCCTGGTACCCCCTGCACATTGAAAGCAGGGTATTTAACTTTGCAGAGCCTCACCTTTATTCATTTGAAAAATTTGAATAAAAGTACCCACATCCTAGGGTTGGTGTGAGGATGAAATGAAATAATGTCTATAAAGCTCTTAGCACAGTTCCTGAAACATAGGAAAGTGCCAGTGGTGTATAGCTGGAATGGGCTTAATTGTTCAACAAAATGTGTCTGGAACATTGGCAGGAGGGACCATCACTGAGTCAAGTATAGTGACTGGTATAACTTTGTCAGGGAGCAATGCTGAGCATGAAGTCAGGAGACCTGGGATCTCATCTTTGGGTTAGTGAAGCTATGTATTGGGAAAGCAATGTAATTGGGGTGGGAAGAGGCCCAGTTCTGTGACTGTGAAATTGGAGAGGAGGAGTGTTTGAACTGGAATAGACTTAAGGATTTCATCCAAGTCTGACAGTCTGTGAAAAAGATACAATTTATGCCTTCGTGAAGCTATCAGCTCAGATAAAGACCATACACTGGACGTAATTCTGACACAAGGTTGGAAGGCATACGGTATGGCAAGCACTCCACACATGCAACAAGCAGAACAATTCTGCAAGAGATGTTGACTCACTCGTTCACCCAACAAAGACTTATTGAGCACCTACCATGTGTCAGGCACAACAGAGCTTCTATCCTGGAGAAACTTACATTGTACTGTAGGAGACAGACAATAAAAAAGTTAACCAAATGAACATATAATTTCTTGCAGAGATAAGTGCTGTGAAGAAAAATAGTGCAGGGAATGGAATAGAAGATGAAGGGCACTCAGAAATCACAACTAAGAATGGTGAAGCCAGTGTTCAAAACCAGATTTGACTCCGAGCCTTCCCTCTCCCCTGCATGCTCCTCTACCTCACTGCTTTCTCCTATAGAGAAACGCTGGAATATAGAGGTATAGTGTGTACATGGCAGGATGCTTGCATCTTTCTTTCAGTTGTCTTACACGGTAGATACATGTGTGTTTAACCACTCAGGCAATTATGCACCTCTTACTATGGCCCCTCAAAAGCACTAAGAATGAAAAGCAATGCCCCTGGAATATCCTTGCCAAAGAGTATTATTGCTTGTAATTTGGAAAAGTGTTCTTTTTTCCATATACAATGAATGTATTTGTTAGACACAACCCAACACAATATATTTCTATTGTTAAATGTATTGCTCAATGATCAAAATACTTTTCTTTCTGGTTCCTAGTAAAGTTCTTTCTCCCAGCCCTATTTCTTCCTACTTAGTTTCTGAGCTTCTCTTGTCTGCTTTTACCCATCCTGGAGGTACCTTTGTTTCTAAGTCAACTCACATGTCTATTGGAAACAAATAAGGGTTGGATTATGAGCCAATAAAAACATATTCTGGAAGAAATTTGGCCAAGGTCCCATGCTGGGTCAATGTAGCAATGTTGAAATTAGTATCTACCCAAGACCACACCATTTCACAAACTTTCGTGAGCTTCCTTTCATTTAAAGTTTCTCAGGCTTTGAAAAGAGGAGCTGTAATCCCAGTTGAGTCTGCCATTAGGAGGCAGAATAAGAACTTTGGAGTTGTTGGCCCCGAGTTCAAGTCCAGACTTTGCTACTTATGAGCTGGGTGTCTTGGACAGGCCATTTAACCTTGCTGAGTTTATTTCCTCATTTGCAAAACTACTTCATGGGACTACTGTGGAAACATGTAAACTCTTAGAATAGTGCTATTTGCTGCTGCTGAAGCCTCTTAACTGTGAAAAGTACCAAGTATGGCTCCTGGCACACAGTGGGAACTCAGTCAATATTAATTTTACTAACACTAAAGAGTAGTGACTTATCATATGGCAAGTGTAAATTTGCAGACACATTTGAGAAAAGTCATAATTTTTTAAAAAATAGGCTGTATATTTTTATCAGTGATTTTAAAATATTTCATGGTTAAGTAACAATCTGCGATGCTTTTGAAAATGCAGATTCTAAGATCCTACCCAAGATATCCTGATTTGATTGGGTTGGGAGGGACCCAGGGATCTGCATTTGAATAAGGAATCATCAGGTAATTTTGGAGTGGAGATCCAAGGAACACTCACTGAGAAGCCCTGATTTAGAAATTGTGTAGGGAGAATGGAGAAAGTAAAAGAGGCACAGGAACAGGTGAGGAGTGGTATTGAGTAACTGGTGATTAGATCAGAGAGGAGCTCTTTGTAAGAAACCTAGGTCTTAGAAGATGGACCTTATGCTCATAGCAGAGTTAATTGCATAGAATGACTGATAATTAGGATCCTGAGTTCTTGACCTGGGACCACTACCTGTGTGACCTCAGGTGAGTCACTTCCTTTAGCCCATAGTTTCTCTATCTGAAAAATGAGGGTTTGAACTAGATGAACTCCAAAGCCAAGTGTAGCTCTGTGAGTCAAAATTCAAGTTCCATATGGGCATCAGAAGCCAAAGCAATGCACAGAACGAAGAGGGATTGTTTCTAAGAGAAGCGAGACCCAAGAGGGCTTTTGGGGAAGGGTGAGCTGTTTGAAAGAGGGAGAGAGAGGAGTGCAGTGGATTTACCCCAATGAGGAGTTGAAAGGGCAAGGAGGAAACCAGTTGGATGATGGGGAGGTTCTTGTGGGTGAGCCTTAGGAGGCCCTTGACTCTCAGAAGGAAGTATTTTATCACACTGGCCATCAGGGGGCTCTAAAGAACTGAGTAGGAAAAGGACATGAGCAAAATTATTTGGGTTGGATCTATGAGGATCACTAAGAGCTGGATTAGAGTGCTGGCAGTAGGAACAAAAGAAGGACCTGGCCCTGAGAGCTATGTCTGCAGAAGGTCAGATTGGTCTTGGTGGTTGGCTGAACATGCACAGGAGTGGGAAGGGGGTGGTGCTGGAATTTTGAGCACGGTACATACATGTCTGAATTGAGAGGTGACATCTGTGGGGATGTATCAGTAATATGTCCCTTTTCTTGGAGGCCAACAGGATAAGAGAATGTTGCCAAGGGAACTAGAAACAGGGACACCCTTTGTCATTTCAAGGAAATCAGAAAAGACTAAGGGCTCAGTGTTCTCTGGTGGGAAGAAGACTGCTGTCAGAAACTCATCTGCATATCTTTGGCAGGGCTTAGAGGAGGGAGAAGGTGGGATAGAGTCTGCTGTAAATCCAGATTCATAGATAGTATTCTGGGTTACATAACAATGGGTAAATTACTTAATTTCTCTAAACCTTAATTTTGTCCTCAGTAAAAGGAGGCACTTGGAAATTAATAAACCTACCTTCTAGATCAAGCATGTCAAACCCAAAGGCTAACACGGGCCAAATAAACAAGGTTTACATTTATGTGGGCCGCAAAAAAACAAAAGCTTCAATTTTCATAGAAACATAGGTTTATTTCGATAGAGACATGCTGAATACAAAGGGCTGAAATAAATGAGTAATAGTTAACATAAAATAATAGAACATTTTAATAAGAATTAATATTTTTTCTGGAACATTAACTTACCAGAAACTGAATAACTGCATAAATTAATAAGCGCAATGCAAATAAACCTATTTTTCTTGTTCTCCGAAAGTAAAATATTTCCTGTTGTGCACACCAAACAAGTCAGCCCAAGACTAATGATGTGACAATCAGCTGCTAAAATATATGCTGCTAGTATTAGTAGGAAGAAATGGTGCGCCTGCGCGTAAGTCGAGTAATGGAAATGAATGCAACAGGATTATAGTAATCAGTCATTAGAGAACATTGTAGTTTGTTATTAATAATTATGTATAACAAAATATTGTAAAAATTAAGTTACAAAATTTTTATTAAAATGTTTCTTACATACCGTTATATTGGCTGGGCCGCAAAAATATTCGTTTGGGCCACATGTGACCCGAGGACCGTGAGTTTGACATGCTTGTCCTAGATTGTTACAAGAATTAAATGAGATCATCCAAATGCCTGTGACATTATAGGATCTTAATAAATGATGGATTAAAAATTTTTAAGAAAGACTACATTATGCTCCATATACAGATATATAACAGTTCAGTCTTCTAATTCATTTGAAACTCCTAATCACACTTGCTCTGTTTCAGATAAGGTTCTGGGGAAATCTATTTTCTGAATTAAAAGAAGTTTGTCCTAAGGGTCATTGGTGTTTATGCAGGGCTTATTATACCAAGTCATTGATAGACCCTGTCCAACACAGGGTCTATCCATTGGGATAATGTAACATCCATTCCACTAATTTCTTCAATCTGCTTATAAGAGAGTAATTTTCTGTACATTTTTTCCTAGTTTTAGGTACATGCTATTTATTTGTGGGCACACATGGAACTTTATATATTATTATAAAACTAGTGTAAAAAATTTCAGCACTTTCTGGACTGCCAATCCTAATCCCACCCTAATTTGCTGTCACATGCATGTAGAAAGTGCTAGATCCTTGACATGCTTTGCTATTTTGTTTAAGACATCCACCTTCCAGTGGGTTATTTGTGTACTTTTATGTATCTGGTAACTTTTTCTATAGTTGTATATCGAAGATCCCAGTATACAAGAACAAGTTAATGCTTCCCTGAGAGCGTTGCCAAAGGCCAAGAAGTCATTCTCATGTATTTAAAATATTATCATCATTTTTATAGACTCCTCTTAATATTCTATTTGAACTACTTTATCTTTTCTTTTTTCATCATCTGAACACTATTTAGACAGGGCTTGTTATTAGCATAATTTTACAGATGAAGAAACTATGAAGGCTAAATGATTTGCCCAAAGTAGTTCAGCTGAGAGAATCCTAACCCACATCTTCAGAATCAAAATTCTGTGTGTTCTGTTTTTAGGACTTTCCACCCTATATTTTTCAATGTTTTCCTGGGACACTTTTTGAACCAGCTCTAAGGATTTATTTTTTTAATTTTTTTTTTTAGTTATTTGGTTTGTTGTGTGTCTATTCAACCAAATTTTGAGTTTCTTCATCTTTGAATCTCTGAGCCCTATTACCTGGCACTTGGCTGGTGCTCATTAAAAGGTACTGGATCTACAGGGTGACTGGTGACACCAGTGAATAACTGAAGCTTCTAAAGTTGAAATCTGACCTAGGAGTATTATTGAAAATATCACTGACCTTGATTTATCTCCCACCACATTATATACTTCTCTATAGAATCTATATATTCCAAGGTTTAACTAGATAAAAGAGTTCCTGATGGTCTCCTCCCTGGAGGTTTCACAGAAATGAGTTGCTAAGCCATGGAAAACATTTTAACCAAGTATGTTTAATTCTGTAGGAAACAAGCTATATTGAAAACAACTCCAATGAAAATGATGCCGTATCACTGATTTTCTCACTCAAAGAAGAAGTTGGCGCACTGGCCAAAGTCTTGCGCTTATTTGAGGTAAGAGCATTATTCCTTTCTGCCTGGGATAGTGGCGTAGCTGACTTCTGTGTAATTTTCTAGTTGGGTGCATGAACATAGGATAGAATCTGGCAGACTTGCTTTTCAGCTTAGGCTTTTGCATTAACCAACTGTGTGACTTTAATTAAGTTGTTCTTCTCTCTGAGCCTCAGTTTCTGTATTCATAGTCAGAGTCATTCAGAATCCTGGTGGCACATCAAGGAAACCAGCCCTGGCCTTAGACTTCTTTTTATCAAACTTTTCTTGAATTAATTACCATCTTCTCAATGTCTTTGCTTTTTTAAAATAATTTTTAAAATATATTTTATTGATTTTTTTACAGAGAGGAAGGGAGAGAGATAGAGAGTTAGAAACATCGATGAGAGAGAAACATCGATCAGCTGCCTCCTGCACACTCCCTACTGGGGATGTGCCTGCAACCAAGGTACATGCCCTTGACCAGAATCGAACCTGGGACCTTTCAGTCCGCAGGCCGATGCTCTATCCACTGAGCCAAACCAGTTAGGGCTCAATGTTTTTGCTTTTAACAGTAGCACTTGTTTGCCTTCAGGGTATACATTTCTCTCTGGCCCTGAGGATGGTTTCTTCAGGCAGGGAACCTTGGCTTAGTCATCTTATATCCTCTACACACCCAAATTTTAATATATTAAGTGATTCATTAAGAATGAAATTAAATTTAAATATAAGCAAAGGAAATCAGACTTTTCTTTTACTCTTTGCCCTGGATTTTAAGAAGGAATATTTTTGAACCAATTAAGTTTTACCCTGAGTTCTTTAATAAAATGAAATCTGGTGATTGAATACGTAAATAAATGGAGAAGAGACAAAACTCCCATGGAGAAGAATTCCAAATAATTTAAGTAGATATTCTACTCAGAGACAAGAACCCCCCCCCCTTCTTCAGTGTGGGTGGCACAGAGTGACTTTCTTCCATCGAAAATAATATGAGATGAGGGAAGAGTAACTTTTCTGTGGAGAACCCAACAAGGAGTAGCTCAGCCAGGTGATCAAGGTCAAAATCAATAGTGACAAGTCATATGGATAATGATGAGAATGGCACTTTGCCTCTGCAGTCTTCCTCCCCCAAACCCATAACCACAGTCTAACCATGAGAAAAACATCTGACAAATTTTAGTTAAGGGACAATATATAAAATACCTGATCCATAACTCCTTAAAACTCAAGGTCATAAAAAACAAGAAATACCTGAGAAATTGTTATAGCCAAGAGGAACCTTAAGGGACATACTGACTATATGTAATATAGTGATCTGAATGGGATCCTAGAACAGAAAAGAGACATTAGATATAAACTAAGGAAATTCAAATGCAGTAATAATATCTTTAGTTTATGACAATGCACTAATATTGGTTTATTAATGTTTCACCACCAATATAAGATGTTAACAATAGGGAAACTGGGTTCAGAGTACGTTGGGATTTTCAGTAGTATTCTCTCAGTTTTTCTGTCAATCTGGAATTTATCTAAAAATAGTTAATTAAAAAATTAAACTTGGCTATGCAAAAAGAGGGGTGGGATGGGAAATGTCGATTCTCAAATGTTGGAGAAGAGAGGCAGGGTACTTTCTGAATGACAAACAGTTTATAAAAATAATGTATCTGTAAAATTCTCCTTTGTAATAATTTAGCCCTTGTATTATTCAGTCAATCAAATCAGCATTTTCCCCTTGAGAGGTCAGGCAGTAGAGTTAATAGAGTTAATAAATTAAATAATAGTAAATTAATAGGATGTTTTCAACTTAATAAATAAACCACAAGTAACTAAATTACCCAGACTGGATAAAATGTACTCAAGGAGTGTGGGTGTGTGTGTGTGTGTACTCTGGGTAAACTTTTTCAAATTAAATTCATTGGATGACATCGGTTACTAACATTACATAAGCCTCAAATATGCTATTCCACAATACATAGTCTGTGCATTGCATTGTGTGCTCACCATTTGGGTGAACTTTTTAAAGCATTATCCCAAAATTTTAATTGCCCTGGTCAAGAAGTGATGTTATTAGACCCATTTACAGAGGAGGTCACAGAGGTTACTGTCCTGGGTGATTAGTAAAAGGGTTGTTGTTAGTATGTATTGATTTTTTTCCCAGATGTATTTCAGAAACTGCCCTAAACATTGTATAAGCCAGCATACCTTCTGCTTCTCCTTACCAGCCTGGCAAAATGCAGAGTTAAGTTATAATTATTCAAAGTGCCAAGGCAAGGAGGAAAATCTCATTCTAGCGGGTGTGGAACCACATTAGGTGGTAAGCCAGGCTTGATTTGGTCCTCATTCAACTTGGTGAAGAAGGTATTACTCCATTTTATGAATGAGGAAACTGAAATTCTGTGAGACGACCACACAGCTAAAGTGTGGTGAGATGGGGCTGAGCTCAGGTTCCGAGGCCCACAAGCTCTCCCTGAACTGCTAAATACAGCTCTCCCTGTACATCTGAAGCATCTATGGAGTTTTTCAAATGTGCAAATATTCTGGCCCCGTCCTCCTATTCTCTGGGGGCAGGAGGATCTGTTACAGGCATTCTTTCTTTCTTTTTTTCCAAATTGAAAAATGTGTCAAAATACAAGAAAAATACTTGTTCATAATTCCACCATCCACAAGAAACCACTGTCAGCATATGGACATATTCACTTTCATTTTTTCTCATGTATGATTATGGTTTCCAAAATTACAAATTGACATATTGTTCTTTAAAAATAGAGAACATTCAAGATACAGCTATAGTTCTTTCTATAGTCCCTCAATCGTGCCATCCTGCAAATGTCCAGGCCACAGCATTATTATTATATTTTTAAAATATGTTTTTATTGATTTTTAGAGAGAGAGAGAAAGGGGAAGGGAAAGAGAGATAAAAACATTGATGAGAGAGGAACATCATCAATTGGCTGCCTCCTGCACTCCCCGCACTGGGGATTGAGCCCACAACCCGGGCATGTGCCCTGACCAGGAATCGAATTGGTGACTTCTTGGTTCCTGGGTTGACACACCACTGAGCCACAACGGCTGGCCTAGGCAACATTTTTATCAGTTTAGCATATTTCCTTCCAGTCCTTTAAAAAGCTTTATTGATATTGACAGGTCCCATGCTTTGCACATTGCTCTGCAACCTCTTTGTGTCAGTTCAGTCGAGTGGTCAAGGGCGTGGACTCTGGGAGACGGTGCTGTGGCTTTGGGAGAGCTGTTGGATTTTCCTGTGCGTCAGTTCCTTATCTGTAAACTGGGAATAGGATAGTGTCTGCTTTAAAGGGTAGTTGTGCGGATTAAATATTAATGCCTCTAAAACCCTCAGAGCAGTTACATATTAAGTGTTCAGTAAGAATTGCTACGTAGTTTTATTCTGAATGCAATGTTTTTGAGATATAACCTTTAAGCTCTTAATATGTACTCCATGCGGTGGAAGCTTTCTTAGCCCCCATTCACCAGGAGCACATACGAGGCATCCTAGCTCCTCAAACAAAAAGCGAGGTCTGCAGGGGAGGGCAGACTTCTCCCAGCGTGCGAGGTTTCATTCCCTTCCTGAGAGCCCATCTTTTCCTTAGATGATTAGCACCAAAGCCACCATCCCATGAAGAGATGATGTTGCCTGCCAATGGGCCCGTGGCTTTGTAGACCTCAGCTAGTAACATCAGAATGCAACACAACGCGTTTGATGTTTATAACAGAGACACACAGGTGCTGTGTTTGCATGTGCTGGGTGGGTGATGGGAGCAAAGAAGCAAATGTTTTAGTGAATTGGGGCCACAAGACTAGGAATATACCAAAAACTGTACCTGCTAACCTACCAATGCCCCATTGTCCTCAGGGACTTGTTCTGCCAATTCTTTATGCATTTATTTTAAACATTTTCCCTAGCTCTCTATTTTTTTAGCCTCTACTACTTCATGTCCCATACCTTCTTAACAAAAAAAAAGTCTCCTGCGAGACTTTACTGCAAGTGGTTAATGGGCTATAAAATTAGAAGCAGGCTCCTTGGGGAAGCTGCACAGAAGCGGTCTCTCCCCTCATTCCCCATCACTAGCCCTCTGCTAATCACCGCACTGTGTATTCCCTAGGGAAGGGAACAAGCAAATCAGCAGATATGCAGAGCTCTTAAGTGACGGATATGCCCCATTAGCATCATGTAATTGATGGAGACACAGAGGCTCAGGCGAAGCAAGCTGCCCAGTGCTAGACACTGGGAGCTAAACATTGCTTCAGACTTCCCCCTCCTTTTTCACAGTAGACTGGTTTTTTAGAAACAAATGGGAAAGGCACAATCTATGTTAGTCATATTCACTTCCTACACTCTATCTACCTCTGCCCAGACAACCCACAATTTCCCCTCATCAGATATTCAGTGGGTTCATACTCTCTCCTGTATGCATTCAGCTTATATATATGCATCTCCTGTTTCCAGACCCTATATAGGTGCTGTGGAGACTGGGATGAGCCAGACAGACATTCTCTGTCGCTATAGACCTTGGAAGAGGTTGGGGTTCCACAAGCTTCCTTAACCCAGACTTGAGATAGAGTTGGTCAGGGGAGGCTTCTTGTAGGCATAATGTTTAAGCTGAAACATGAAGGGGGGTGGGCCGGGAGAGGCAGAGGGAAGTAAATTCCAAAACAAAGAAACAAATGACTTGAAGTAAGAGAATAAACAGGGGATCTGGTCATAAAATCCTCAAATCCTTGGCCCTTTGCCCACCTCATATTCCTGGGGACAAAGGCCGGGTGGCAGGGGGCATCCAGACAGGCAATGTTTATTACTCTACAGTTTGGACTTTGAGGCCTGCCCGTGACCCCTGGGCCTGATGAGCAGGACAGAATCGAGAGCAAATCACGAGGGTTGCTTTTACCCCACCCTGACCTTAGATCCAGGGCAGTTGTGAACAGGAAAATGCTTACGGGAAACATTTCTTCTTTAATAAAAACAAGAACAACTTTGAGTCCCACTAGTGGAGAAAAGTTTTTAGAATCCA